AAAAAAAAAAAAAAAAAAAAAAAAAAAAAACGAGCACGTGATTCAGTATACCGTATTTTGGATGCCTTAAAAACCATGGGGGAACCGCGCTTCCTCTTTCCTTTAGCCACTCTCCATTTCTCAGAAAAGTATTACTTCAGATTGCTGTGTCATTATATATATATACATATATATATATATATATATGTGTGTGTGTTTGTGTGTGTATATATATATATGTTTCTCCAATTTTCCATTTTTCCGAGAAAATTTTTCTCCCTTTCTCTCTCTCCCACAAGCTTTCCCATCTCCCTGAAATCGCAATCGATCTCTCTCAAACAGTTTTCTCTCGCTTTCCCTCCTTTTCTCGGCCTCCAATCAACCATTTCAATCTTCTTCCACCCTCTTGTTGCCAGACACACCAATTTCACTTTCACTTCCCCAAGATCTGGGACTCTCTTCTGTCCTCTGTAGCTCTAAATCTGATCAACAAATTTGTGGGTTGCATTCCTTGTTTAATCTTGATTTGTTCTTCTTCAGGATGCTTTGACATATATTGCCTTTCCAGGGTCGGAATTGGCATCTAGGGTTAAGTGATTGGTCTTGCTGGTTGATATCTGTGCAGTTCATGCGAGAGTCACGCTCTGGTTTCGATGAATATGGAAATTTCTTGCGATGTGGCGTCCTTGGACGCTGAATTGTTGCAGCTGGCGGAAGTCTCTCCTTTGGCGATTAAATCCAATCCTGATTTTGTCGAGAAGCTGTTTGAGCAGTGGCTTTCGCTTCCTGCCACTAATCGCCTGGTACTCCTCGTCTTCTAACCTTCATTTCCCTGCATTACAAAGTTCGTTCAATTGGGGAAATTCTTGAATCATGGATTTTGATATTTGGATGGAAATGCTGCTTTGTGATTTATAAACTTGTGAATTCCTGTTGTTTAAGTCATAGATACTCCAGAACATGTTCTATGTGCCGAAAAGATCATATCCCTAGCTGGAATGTATTCAGTCCTTTGCACGTGTATGGAATGTATTCGAATTCATTGTTTATCTATTGTATCTTTTAGGTCACGTCATTGTTAAACGATGCAAAGGCTGGTGTACCCTTGAATGTGCCTGGAAATTCTTCTAGTCCTCATGCTTCTGCTAGCAATTCACTGCCTTCTATCTTTCCTGCTGGAAGTGCTCCTCCTTTATCACCGAGAAGTATATCTGGTTCCCCTCGGGTGATGAGACCGAGGGTTGGTCCTTCTATTTTAGGCTCCCCACTGAAAGTGATTAGTGAGCCAATTAAAGAACCAATTCCGCAGGTTAGGTGGCGTGTGTTCTTGATTATCTTGTGCTGTTATATTCATCAACAATAAATTCAGAGCAATGGGTCATTTTTATTCGTCTTTTATCTATTAACCTTTAGTCTTATCAGTTGAATTTGATATTATGGAATTATGATGATAGTTTCTAATTGCAAAACTTTTACTATTACAGTTTTACTTCCAAAATGGACGTCCACCACCAGTTGACCTGAAAGAGCAATGCATGTTCAGGACCAATCAGGCATTCTATGGACACTTGGATGGGTTACAGATCCATGGTAGGATATCTAAAAAATTACGTCTCATTTCTCCAATGGACACTAACTCCTTTTTTATGCCAGAATTTAGGGCAGTTACAAAAGAAGTATGCAAGCTGCCATCGTTCTTTTCCACTTCTCTTTTCAGAAAGATAGATGTTAATAGCACTGGCACTGTGACAAGGTAGGTTTCTCTTGTTGCTGGAGAACGTTGTTTAGTATGACGTATATATTAGACTTTGTTTCTGTTTCCTTGTCTCCTTTGGTTTATCAATAAATATTTTAACTCTGTATTTTTTTTTTTCCAATGAACTGTCCATGCTACTTAATGCCTGACTTTGCTGCTCAAGATTGTGTTTATCTTTTTCTTTTGGTGTGCGCATGTGTGTTGGGATAAGGAATGGCTTTGTGTGGAAGAGTGAAAGATTTCAAAGCCAGACCATACAAAAATACGCTGCCTTCAGAAAATTTTATTAATCGATATTTTGTTATTTCGAATTTCAATTTTTATAGGCCTTCCTTAAATTAAATCCTAATATTGTTTGGTACTCTTTGGATTTAATTATTAGAATCTAGAGCTTCAACCTGTCTTCTTCTTATTATCCCCGTCCATGGATGTGATTGATGTAGGGAGATTAGATAATACTTGTGGAATTTATTCCTTTAAGTCACTTTTAGTCTTTGAAATACATGGTTTATTCTTAACCTTTGTTCAGTGATAAAGATTTGAGATAGACATCTTGGAGAGAGTTCTCCTTTAGTCCATTAGGCTACACCAGTGATGCTCTTCACAAAAGGCAGCTCCTGAGATGAAAATGTAGTCTTTCCGAATCCTACACCTACCCACAAATGGACATTTAGTAGGTTATATTCCAATTGGTTTTGAATCGATAGGGTGGTATTTTGTTACAATCCAATAAGGATTGATAATACTAATCTAGAAGCGGATGAGAGAATCTTCATATTCTGGGCCCCAATGTAGTTTGAGAAGATTGGCTTATGTTAAAGTCAAGTACATGTGAAATTATAGGACATGTAGATTTTTTTTAAAAAAAAATTATTATGTTAGTGGTACGATTATAATTATTAGTTTGTTTGCCAAAGTTGATCTATAGTAAACTATAACCAATGAATGATTGTGTAAATCTTGGGCATGGATGACATGTGACTAGTTTTTCTTAATGAATAACTGAGCTATCATTGAGAAGAAATGAAAGTAAAGTGTCTAGTTTTAGGTTGGGGAGTGGCAAAGAGTGTAGATCTTTTGGAAGATCCATGGACTTTGTGTTGAACAGAAACCCTTCCCACCCTCTTTCATCACTATTATTTGCTTCGCTTGTTGGATCCAATGTTTTAAAAGGGTAAATGTGGTCTTGAAGCTTTTCTTCTTGAATTGGCGAGGCATAAGTTTCAAGTGTTAAACATAGTAGTCATATTAAAGCATAAACAAAAACCACCTTTGTCAATTGCCACTTAAACAAAAATTCTAAAAGGATATTTTTAGCCTCTCTACAACTATCATTAATAGGATTGACTTATTCTATAAATTGTCTTCAATGCTTTTAAAGTCACATTAGCGATAGTAATAGTTCGAATTTTCACAACTCAAATTTTTATATTTTGGAAGAATGAGACAAATTAATATTATTCTTCTCATTACATTGGGTGTAGATATTTTAAACCACAACGTGTTTTCATAGTGACATAAGCCTCTTATGGTTCAAAGGAGGCGTAACTCTCAAGGTTAAAAAGTTATTGCCTTGCCTCAAGGCATAAGCCTCAATAACCTTTTAAAACATTGGTTGGATTGGAAGTAAGAGGCTTTTGGTATGTTAGTGCTGGAATGCTTTTAAATTAGTATTGGAGGCTTGATTCTAGAAGGAATCTTAATGAACTTGAGTTGAACGAGGTGGTCTAGGTTGAACTATGGGATTTGTTGAGAGGTGTAGCAAATGGAAAGAACGCAAGGAATTGAGGACAAGAATGCAAAGCTTCCTGAAGAATTGAAGGAAACAATGTGGCCTTGGATGCTAAACTCCTCTCCAAACTCCAAGTTCCTTAGCTACAAGGTGGCAGCAACATGGTCCATTATCACTCGATCTGGTTACATGTCATACTAAAGTAAGATGGTCCCCTTTTTGTTTTTTTTCTTCTGTTTCAAGCATGACAAAAGACTCCCAATAAAACAAAAAAAAGCTTGACAAGGGACAAAAGTATTTGATTTGACCTTCCTTCCCAAAAGAAAAAATTGCTAGTCATGGCGGTGCATGATTTTTATGATAAGAACGGCATTGGAGATGATGGAACAACAATGCAAAGAATGGAAGAGGCAACGTCAGGATGACTGGAAGTGTGAGAGAAACTGGCATATTAAGACATGATTGTATTCATGGATAGTGCGTAATGCACTTTTTTTTTTTCTTCAAAGTTGGTTAAGGAGCTGAGTATACCTTTGAGTGAAACATTGTCCCAGGAATTCTTCCAACTAGAATCAGTCGTTTTGAAAGTTTTCAGCTTTCTCTCAAGCCATAATCTAAAAAAAAAAAAAAAAAAAAGAAAAAAGAAAAAACCTCAAGCATTGTGTTGACCAAGTAAGGGCTTCCATTAATAAGTTAGAAAACTGCAACATTAATATTCGTTGGTCAGCGGTAGCTCTAGCCAAACGCTTTATAGAGATTTGACCAACGAACACAGGAGCATTGGGGAATAGCATAAAGAAATGCAATTGATAATCCTCCTATGTTTTACACGAAATTCATCCACTGGGAGATGATGCAACGCTTTTTCTTTCCAACATTTTGATTGAGATGGATAATATGATTTTTAGAGGCCTATTGTGGTTGTCTCGTGAGATTATTTAAAACACATACAAACAAACCTAAACACTTGATGATTAGAAAAAATAAACTTGGTTTCTCTACTTGAAGCATGTGTCTAATATTCTTCTCAAGATTTTTTTATCATCATCATCATCATCATTTATAAAAAAAAGAAAAAAAAAAGAAAAGAAAAAATCATCATCGTTATTATGTTTCAGGGATGCTTTTATTGAGTATTGGATCAATGGAAACATGTTGACACTGGATATAGCAACCCAAATTTTTAGGATTTTAAAGCAGCCGGATCTCAAGTATCTGACTCAGGTTTCCTTTCTTTTCTTCTCCCTTGAGTCCTGATCACTGTATTGAATAAAATAAATGTCGATTATTATATTTATCAAAATTTTAGTATTCTTTCGACTATTGTTTCTAAGAAAAAAAGATATTTTTAGTGTTAATATAGCACCATAAATTACAAGCTTTTTTATATGAGTTACCTTGTGTTATTTCCTACATATTTTATTGTAACCCAAAGATTATATTTAGTAAATGGTTAAATGAAATTGATATCATCTGAAGTAACCTCATCTCGGTGAAGTTGAGCTTTATGATTTTATGACAGGATGACTTCAAACCTGTGCTTCGAGAGCTCTTAGCAACGCACCCAGGGCTAGAATTCCTTCAGAGCACTCCAGAATTTCAGGAAAGATATGGTTGGTGCCTTTGCCTGAATTGTTCAGCTTTAATTTGATGTTTATTCCTGGTTTGCTTAATCCTTTGTTTTTCGTAATAATCATGTTTATCTTTGGTTAGTTTAACTAACTTCTTTCTCTAATTTTTGAGCTATCAAATCTCTTTCATCATGATATTTATGTAAAATATAATATATTTGTTTTCATTACGAACAAAACCAGAACTTTACTAATATATGAAAGGATCACTAGGAAGTCTTTGGGGGAGGATGAGGCATCCTCAAAAGAGAACAATCTTAACAATTTCTCCTTCACATTACAAACAAAATAGAACAAAAGAAAGAACACCTACCGACTTAACATTGGAACCTACTTTTTGACAAAGAACAAATTTTTTGCTGATAAAATGAAAAATTACTGAAGTGACGAAGAACTTCGATTAGTACAATATAACTAGTCGAACAATAAAATTCTAAAATATAGTAAAAACTCAAAAACCATTCCATAAGACATAATAAAATTCATTAAACACCCACTACGCTTTCTGCCTTATGAGGGATACAACCAACAAAGACAATGACATTGAAGTCTAAAGAATAAGATGACTAAGGAGGTGTGGGCTTCAATTGTGGGGGATAGAACATTTTTTTTGAGAAGAAATTTAAGAGATGAAGAAGAAAAGGAATTTTCTCCTGGATTTATTGAAGACTCGAGCTCATTGGGGAGGTCATTAAAAGAGTTTGGGTACTGGATTATTCAGGACAATTTTCTGTTAGTTCCCTGGTCAGACTTTCAAAAGATTCAGATGAAGCTTTAGAAAAGAGGTGTACAGAGCTGTTTGACAGGATGTTGTCCAAAAAAAGTGAAAGCGTTCTTATGGTCAGCTTGTATAGAAACTCTGAATACAGTGGAGAAAAAGTACATGAAAGATGCCTTGCAATGGTTCTCCAGTCTCTTAGTGTGTGCTCTGTTTTAATGAATATGAAAACGTGCATCACTTGTTTTCCTTGTAAGCTCTCAGCTGGAAATTGTGGTCTTTAGCCCTGTAGTTTAGTTTGAATTATGTGTTTCCTTGCTAGTTGAAGGAGAATATGATGTGGCTATTATATGGTATGTTCTTCAAGGGAAAGGTTGAGGTTTTGTGGAATCTTGCTGTAGAGGAAATCTTATGCAATGTACGGGTAGAGAGAAACAGTAGAATCTTGCAGGTATTTCGAAGGAGTGGGGAAGATTTCTGGTGTGCAAAATCCTCATTGATAGGGTATAGTCCATGATCATGTCATGGATGAGATCAATAACTTCTTAGGGTACCTTCAAATTGGTCTCAGTTTTCGTTGCCAATGTATATAGCATTCTGAGAAAGCCTTGGGAACACCTCCGTAGTTTCCTCTTCTTTGAGAGTGTTTCAACCTGTTTAAAAAGAAACCTGACGTTAAAATCATCCAGGCTCAAGGCCTATCAATGCTCTCAATATTACCTCTTTTGGCAATGGTTATTAAATTCTTTGCTCCTCTTTTGAATGTATAGTGTTTTAAAAGGTTGACGGCTGAGAGCTTGATGATATGTAGGATTTGAATCTTTATGTTTCTAAATGGTTTTCGGTACAAAAGGTTTTGTAATTGAGTGGTTGGAGGCTCTGTAATATTGCTAGACCATTTGTCCATCAGCTATAGTGGGGCCCTTTATTCTTTCCTCTTTGTCCACTATTCTTCTTCATTTGCAATGTGGTCGGTTATTTATCTGAAAAAAATGGCACTAGAGTGGGGCCTTTTATTCTCTCCTCTGTCTTGCATTCTTCTTTAGTTGCAATGCAGTTTATTTTTTATGAAAGCATATGGCACTAGTTTGCCGTGGTCTTGCGGTTTAGTTCATCTAGTTGTATAGATTGTTGGCTTTTTTAATTGCATCTGTTGAGTTGACATTAGCATTGTTGGTTAGGCACTGGTGTGCATTGGAATTGACCTTGCAGTCCATGTTAGATGCCTGCTGTTGTAAGCAATTTGAGTTTCAGGCAGGGGCTTGATACTGGGTTCCCTCAAGGCTTCTTGCTATGATAAATCATCGTAAACCTGCTTGATTCTAGTTTCTTTTTAAATTTACCTTTTATGATGAAATTAGACTACAGCAGTTTATAATTTGTTCATTTTTTTAATGAACTCTTATTTTGTGAACCAGCTGAAACAGTAACATATAGGATATATTTCTACATAAATAGAGCTGGAAATGGTCAGCTTTCACTTAGGGAGCTCAAACGTGGTAATTTGATTGATGCAATGCAACATGCTGATGAAGAAGAGGACATCAACAAAGTTTTGAGGTAGGTTTATGACTCATGACTTATTTGTTGTACTCACGAGTTCAATTCATAAATCAGTCCCAGATCTAACTCCTTTACTCTGCATTATCATTTTTATCTTCCCTTTCATGCTTAACCTCTTTCTTTCTTCTACCGTATCTCCCTCATGGTTTTATCATTCTTTTTTTCAGTTTTTGTCAAAAGGAAGCCTTCTTTGTCGTAATTTCTTTCTAGTTTTATATTTTAATCCATTGAAGAGTTTTCCATGAGCTACCATAAGCGATTGGTTCATGGTGGAGTTTCTTCTTTTAACTTTTGAGCTCATACTTAATAAATGGTTTCTTAAAAAGGAAATATAAGGGTTTTAGTCTTTCTAGTATCCCCAATAAAGGAGAGTGTAAGAATTTGATGGTGATCTCTGCATTGGTTGCAATTCGGGAACTGTATCTCTATTTTGTGCCAGATTTTTTTGGATCCAACCATCAAAACAGATCCCACCGATATGAATCCCCCTCTTTTCTCTCTCTAGATGCAGACTTAAAAAAATGTAAGAGACAGAGGAGATGGCCTAAGGATTTCGTCTTATTTATTATAATGCTGGCATAAGAAGAAAAAGTAGATAACTTCGAACCTCTTAATTATACGTCTTACATATGTTACTTCCAAATTGGATTTATATGTTATGATAGTATGTATTCTTACGAAGGTATCCTATTGATTGTTGTTTAATGTGCAATAATTGTTAATTGTAGGTACTTTTCTTATGAGCATTTTTATGTAATATACTGCAAATTTTGGGAGCTGGACACGGACCACGACTTCTTGATTGACAAGGAGAACCTTATCAAATATGGAAATCATGCGCTTACCTACCGTATTGTTGATAGAATATTCTCTCAGGTTTGTGAATCATCTGGGACATTGCTTTGTTAGAATTGATTTAAGTTGATTCCAGGTTACAGTTTTAAATGGAACTTCCTTAGAATCCCCAAGATTTTATTCCATTTCTATTGCTTTGTTTATTTCATTTATAAAGTGAGTACTGGCATTAACTTCACTAAATGATTTCATGTGATTCTAGGTTCCAAGAAAGTTTACTAGTAAAGTTGAAGGTAGGATGGGATACGAAGATTTTGTTTATTTTATATTGTTTGAGGAAGATAAATCATCTGAGCCTAGCCTTGAGTATTGGTATGTTATATCCTCATTTTCTCTAAATTTTAAGTGAATATTGGTGTTTCCTAATATTTTTTTACCAGGTTATATAAATTGTTTTGTAAGATGGCTCAAGCTTTCAGGCATTATTATCATCATCATTATCTTGGATGAGAAACAATTTTGTTGTTGTATGAAATTGTAAAAGAGGGTAAAAAAATTCCAAACCAAAGGAATGACAAAAGACTTCTCCAATTGGTAACAAGAGATACAAAAGTATAGATTTAAAAAAGAGGTAACAATTTACTAAGTAGGTATTCAATATGGACTCTCCTTGCTTTGAAAATGGTTTTGTTCGTTCTAAGTGTCCCAAAAGAAGGTATAGATGAAGTTGACCCAAAGATGCTTCTCAGTTTTCAAGGATTATAGGCAACAAATTTGATGAACTGTGTACAAAATAGGAATAATGCCTTCCTTTTTTACCTTTGTCCAAGGGGGTTTCCCTTTATTTTTGTATTCAGCTTATGGGATAGCCTTTAAAAAATTTGCTTGTTGGTTTCCCCTTTTTCCTCTGGACTTTTTTTTTTCCAAGTACAGGTACAACATTGCATGTTATTATACTGAAGATTAAAGTTATTATTAACGTTATTTGATTAGTTCATTCATTACAGTACTGAAATTCTAGTTTCTCATTAAAAGATGTTATTTGATTAGTAGACATACCTTTTTCTAAATTTTCATTTAGGTCTGAGTTAGAGTGTTTTCGTATGCATACACTTTTTTGGCTCTTGGTTAGTTTGCCTATATTAGAACTTAAGAGGAAGTATTATAACCATCTTTGTAATTTTTCATATTTTCAATGGAAAAAATTGTTTCCTTGTAAATAAAAAAGGAGGGAAGGAGAGAAGACATGTCTTTTTTTGCAAATATGTTCTTGTTTTATCTTTTATATCCTTTTTTCATGAGAAAACTGACTTTCATTGAAAAGAAAAAAGGGAAATAATACAAGGGCATTAAAGAAAAGAAAGGGCCTACAAAAGGAGCCAACCTGAGAACGAGGCTCCAATCAAGATGAATGAGACCTAACGCATCACTACAAAAAGAATTCAAGAAACATTAAATCTAATGTGAGACTATATGCCGAAAGGATCGCTCTGAACTCCTCTGAAGGTCTTATTGTTCCTCTCTCCTAAAAAAACCCATAAAAGAGCACAAGAACCTCCCCCTCTCCCTCTTCCTGTATGGTGGATGGAGAGGAATTCTTCGATCATCTCCTTGTAGCCTTTGTATCTAGCTAGCTGGAATCCAAACACGTCGAAAAAGTAGTTCCAAACTGCCTCAGCAAACAAACAGCTTCAATGTCCTTGAATAGCCGCTGCTAAGACATTATATTATGAGTTGCAGCCCGTATAATTTGTTGTTTATTTACTTTGGTTTGTCTTCTCCAGTTTTCTATTTCTTGACCAAGTTTGTGACAATCAGCCTATTGTGATGATGCCTTGTGGTTTTTCCTAGGTTCAAGTGCATAGATTTGGATGGTAATGGAATTTTAACACGGAATGAATTGCAATTCTTTTATGAGGAGCAATTACATCGTATGGAATGCATGGCTCAAGAACCTGTGCTTTTTGAGGATATTTTGTGCCAGATAATTGATATGATTGGACCTGAGGTTCATCTTCTACTCCTTTATTAGTTTTTCTCCTGTGTTACGATGTGTGTCCAAAGTTTTCGAAACATATCATTTAAAAGATATCCATTGGTATTATCATCTTTGAAAGGTTCTCCAAAACATTGTGAATTAATAAAGGGTATTGTTTTGCTTTACACAATGTCTTCCTTCTTGCAGAATGAAAGTTATATCACTCTACGAGATCTGAAAGGCTGCAAGCTTTCTGGAAGTGTTTTTAATATTCTTTTTAATCTGAATAAGTTTATGGCCTTTGAAACACGTGATCCATTTCTTATCCGCCAGGTACATTAGCTTTAATTTTACATGGCCATTGCATTGCGATCGGCTATGATAATATGTTGAGTGATAATTTTGAGCTTGTGTCTTGCAGGAGCGCGAGAATCCTACTTTGACAGAGTGGGATCGTTTTGCGCATAGAGAATATATTAGGCTTTCAATGGAAGAAGATGTGGAAGATGCCTCTAATGGAAGTGCAGAAGTTTGGGATGAGTCTCTTGAAGCTCCATTCTGAGTGAGTCGGGTAAGCTAGGACAATTATTTCTGTATTAATACTCATTAGTCGAGATTCAGTTCAAATCTTAACGAGGTCGAATAGTTAATTAAGGCTGAACGTGATAATGTCATTTTTGAGGTCGAACTTTTTGGACAGAGACGAAACAAGGGATGCTTGGTTCTGTTTATGCACCTAATTTTTATGATGCTTCCTTCGATCAATAGCAAAATGGCATGCCATTGGACAGACATGATTGTACGATTACTGTATCGATGAATAGCACGAGTATTACTATTCTCGACTTAGAGAGAGTTCTTGATAATTCCATTCTGCCTTTCTTTTGGTTTTTTTCAGGGAGCTTGAAAAGTAACGTTTTAAAATTGGCCACCAGATGAAGAAATGTGTACGGACGGAGCAGTTTCTTAAGAACGAGAATGCAGAGTGGTGCTTTCTCGAACACGAATCGCAGGTCTCCGATCGCTGCTTTGACCAAATGCTCTACTATTTGCGTGGAACATCCCTGTAGATTGTACTGATACAACAACATTCTGTAAGTGTTGTCTGCTTGGCACAGGTCAATAATTCAAGGCCATTTATTATTTAGTTTATAATATGCTGCCTTCCCCTTTTTCCCCCCCTCAATTTAAGCCTATTTATATAGAGATAGATATGATGATGATCATCATCTAAGCCCCTTTTTTGGTTTGTAATTTTATTCTGTTTCTCAAAATGAAAAAAGAAAAATATATATCCTTTCCCCTAATTGTGACTTGGGTGTGGTTTTGTGATGCTTTTCATTGTCTGACTTTTCTTTTTGAGAGAATGGGCAGCTCAGTCAGTCAGTCAGTCAGTCTCTATATCCTTTTTTTGTGTAAGAGCTGGGAATTTTTGTTATTTATGAATATTCATTTCAACTTTTCTCTCTTTCACAAGTTCACGTAATAAAATCATTACTCTCATGACACTAAACAAGCATTAGATAAGCACTCTTCTTTATCCCGTCTTTGTATCAAGACGTATTTTTTATCCTCCGTGATGATCATCTTAGGGTGATTCTTTTTGTCGACGGATGTTTCTAATACACTCGTAGTCTCTAAAGGATGAGAACCAACTATGTAGCATCTACATCGAGAATTCAAGTATTGTATACGTCATTAGTCTAATCCTTTGTAGGAATTATCGGTAATAACGAACTTGCAAAATGAATCTGTTTATCTTGGAAATTTAGAGGCATTGAGTTACCATTTTTGTTGAAGTTTTGGTAAGTTTATGTTAAATTATAAATTTGGTTCCTAAGTAAAAATTTGTTTTGTGGTTTAAAAGTTTAAGACTATTTATACGAGTTTTATCCAATCATATAGATTATTTATGAGTTTTTATTATATCATAATGGTGATATTCACTTTCGAAATCATGGAAATAGTAATACTGCCCGCTTATATTAACCGGTTAACATTCGTATTATTAGTCATTTGTTTGATAGTTAGCGTAATTTTTTTTTTTTTTTTTGTAAGAATTTAGATTGTACAAGGGAAGCAAGCTTGTTTAAATGCTCGTAACAAATTATTATCTTCCAAATTGAATCCCTTATTGTTATGGTAATTGACTTTCGCAAGTGTTCCTTTTGAACAATAAAGCTAACCGATAAGCCTAAATGATTTGTTCGGAAATTTTTCTAAGCATTTTTTTCTTCTACTTCATCTTGAAATTTGATCTCTAAAACTCTTACTGAAATTTAAAAAATTTAAGCGGGAAAAAAGATTTAAGTTTTGTAATCAAATGACTAGAAATACCATTGAGTTGTCTCAACCTACTAAATTCTATCTACTTTATTAGATTCTAAAGTTAAAGTTGAACCAGTGATTCAAGTTCACGTAATAATTTACTTCAAATATATTAGTACGTTGCTCACCATCATGTATTATTATTGTATTAGAACATGAAGGTGACAATATGATAGACAATTGTCGACTATGATAATCATGATTGCCCACCATCATAAGTGAGTTTTGGTGTTATCCTTTACTTATATGGGCAATAGTGACAATAATGTACGTGAGTTCGATCCGAAGGAGAAGCTGTTATAGCTACATAAGTCAAATAAACCTAACATTTTAGGAACGAAATAATCAAATGGGAGTTAGGAATATGATTTCACAAGATGAATTTTGTTCCTTTTCCGTTTTTTTGAAAACTGTTGATGAGTGATGAATTCACTTTGGTACTAACTCAGTTTTTGAATTTCTACTTTAATGCTTTCTACTGTGATAATGAAGGATGAGATACTGTGATATATGCTCAGAGTGTTTGATGGATGTTATCTTCTTGTTGAGTATGTATGTTTGTAGGTGACGAATTTTGTGCTCAAGTGATTGATAGGAGTATCTCTCTATTAAGCATGCATGAACGTTTTAAATATGATCCATGTGCTAGAGCTAAAGTGATTTTTCAATTTGACCCAAGATAATACATTTCTAGTAGATTTAACATCATAGAATTCTAAGCGACGATTAGAGCTATAGATCTAAGAGCACCCAGAAGTTGGATTAACCCCAAAGTTTTAGTCCCAAACGTCCTAGGAATGAAAGGCGAGATTTAAGTTGCCTAGACCATCTAAAAAAATTCTAGTAGACACCTATAACAAGAATGACTTAGAAAGCCTAACAGGCTTATAGTAGTAAGAGCGGTGAAACAACAACCTCTAAGGTAATTTGTGTTTCTATTGTGTGTGGAGACGAATCAAGGCTGATGTTGCTATTTCGTAAACAGATCCTAAAGAGGGACTTGAGACCACATAAGTGGCTAGCTCTTCTTTGTATATAGAAATGGATCAAGGCTAATGCTGCGATTTCGTAAACTGGTCTCAAAGAGAGATTTGAGACTACAGAGGTAGTTATTTCAATGTGAATGTTTCTATTGTGGGTAGAAATGGATCAAGGCTAATATTGTGATTCTGTAAACCAATCTCGAAGAGAGATTTGGAACTACCCATGTAATTATTTCAAGGTGAGAGTTTCTAATGTGAGTAGAAATGGATCAAGATTGATACTGTGATTCCGTAAACTGGTCTTGAAGAGAGATTCGGGACTACACAATAGTTGAATCATGTTGGTTGTTCCTAGAACTTTAAGACCTACATAGAAGCTCAGATTGCTTACCGAGTTCCTTGATCCTAAATAATGCACATAGAAACTTATTACGAATTGGACGTGGTGAGAGAGTACAAGTAGATTGCTTACCGAGTATTTTTATACTCACATCTTCCCCCTCTTTATTCTTCAGGTGGCCACAAGTTACTAGGGTAGTGCTTAAGAACTGCACTGTCACAGAGAGATGTCGACTTAAGACGTAAATGTAGTCTGTATTCTTACGAGTTATCTTTTGTACACTTTTGTATCCCATTCTTGTTCTCGATTTGTAAACAACTCGAACAACACCAATTTTCAAGTTTTGGATTTTGGATTAATTTTCGCAAACTTTATTGTATTTTTATTGCTTTTGTTTTATTTTTTTTATTTGTCTACTATCATCTTACTTTTTTAGTCATGGATATTCAACATCTCAAAAATTTTATAGCACACATTCTTAAGATAAAGATGATCGAGAATGAGAGAATAGAAGGTAGAAATTAGGGGTGTACATTTAACCCGACAATTCGACAATCCGGACCAACTCAACCCGTTTAGGTTGGATTGGGTTTGATTAGCATTTCAGGTAGGGTTGGGTTCATTTTTCTAAACCCGAACTGAATCGGTTTGGTTTCGGGTTCGTGGATAAAACCTTTGGGTTGACCCGTACAAATAAAAATATATAAATTATATTAAGAATCTCTTTGTATTAATAAGTTTGTCAGAGTGGTAACTCGACCTCTCTAAGGACACCCACGTCCATTTAATGATCTATTCTTATATTTTTTTTACTATAAACAATTCTCAAGAAATGTTCGTATTTAACTGTCTTTAGTTTTATGACAATGTTGAACTATGTTACTATTTTTATTGATTTTTTTTTATGTGAATAATTATAGATTGATTTGGGTTTGTTTGTAAACTTCTAATATATTGTGGAAAAAAAAAATTGACCCAACCTGAAAATAGAGGGATAGGTTGTGAAAATTTTCAGGTTTTTTTTTTTTTTTTTGACAACTCCACAACCCAACCCCGGGTTGTGAAGATTTTCGGGTTGGGTTACCAATCCAACTAACCCGAACTTTTAGGTTGGGTAAAAAAAAAAATCCTTCAATTCAACCCAACTCGAACCACAGTACAACGCGAGCGGAAATCCCTTAAAAGGTTAAAAAAAAAAAAATAGTTTCAAAATAAATTTAGTTGCTTCATTAATTACTCTCTTACTTTGACATGCCTCAAAATTATTGCCCATTTCCTTAGAAAGGAAGTGAAGATTAGTGAGAGTAATTATGGTTAATAAATAATGTCCCCCTCAGTAACAATCTTCAAATCATAATAATTTATTGGGATTTGTACAGTATTTGGAGGCTGCAAAGCAATGGTTTTTTACCACTTTACCCTTCAATTTTCTCCACAAACAAAATTTGAATTTTATAACCTAATATCTTACTTTACCACTCATTAGTCTTTGAAATCATTGAATCCATCCCTTTCTCCTCTTTTTAGATGAATGGACATAAAAGCTTCAATAGTGGTGAAATGTCTTCACCGCTAGCGGATGTTGTCCTCTTTTGACTTTCCCTTTTGAGCTTACCCTCGTCTGTTATGGAAAGGTTTTCACACCCTTTTTATAAAAGGTGTTTCGTCCTCCTCCCCAACCATTGTGGGATTGTGGGCTCTCATAATTTACATTGTTCTTCGTATAATTGTTTCGATGTCACGTAAATGATCAAAACATTATCAAGATTAAGGATGTTCGTGAGTTGGGTTAGATTAGGTTAGGAGACTCAATCTACGTTAAGAAAAAAACACGAGCGAGAAAAAGGCAAAAAGAGAATAAGAAGTAAGGCAAAATGGGGAGCAAACTCAAAGTGATTATGAATTGAAAAGCAAAAAAGGAGGGGACAAGGTATGGGCATATTTGTTGATAACAATGAAATGAGATGGGCCTCACCATTGCATAAAACACAAACAATACACCAAAACTTTATTTGTTTGGTTCTTTTGTTACCCCAAAGGGGTGAAACCAATACCCTTTTTTATCCTTCAAAACCATTTTCTTTTTCATAATGTTTCGTTTTTACCATCATTGGATGATGAAAGTCCCACATCAGCTAGTTTAGGGAATGATCATGAGTTTATAATCAAAGAATGCTCTCTCCATTGGCTTGAAGCCTTTTGGGGAAGCCCAAAGAAAAGCAGGAGAGCTTATGCTCAAACTGGACATTATTCATACCATTGTGTAGAATTGTGTTCATTTAACATGGTATCAGAGTCATGCCCTAAACTTAGTGGTGCCAATAGATTGGTAAATCCTCAAATGTCGAAGAAATGACTCTAAAAAAAAAAGGAGTCGAGCCTCGATTAAGGGGAGACATACTTTGTTCGAGGAGAGATGTTGGATGATGAAAGTCCCATCATAGGTTTATAATCAAAACAAAGCCATAAGAGCTTACGCTCAAAATGGACAATAGTACTCCTTGAAGGCATAGTAAAAAATGAGTCGGAGGGGAGGTGTTGATGATAAAAGTCCCACATCGGCCCTAATTTAGGGAATGGTCATGTTTTATAATAAAAAAAAATATTTTTTCCCATTTGAAAAATTTGTATTTCAAATTATTAAATAAAATTGATTTTTTTAATTTTAAAATTTTCTTACATAAAAAAAAATGTTAAATATTTATTGTATGAACGTTGACGGCCAATTTGAACATAACTCAGTCGATAAGATAACAATATTTCAAAGGCCACACATCGATTTTCCTTTCCACAATCGTTAAAGAAAAAAAGTACAAAATTCATCATTTGAGGTCACATCTTAGTTATTTTAATGTCGTGATCGTAACGAGACAAAGAATTTTAAAAAATGACATTTTCACTTTGTCCCTACGCTAAAACCCAACTCTCTAAATATTTTAGTATGTAAATCGAGAATAATAACAATTTAATTTAGAAGAAAAATATTAAATTTGTTAATAAACCACATTCTAAAAGTTTAGTTTACCCCAAGTTAATCATACTATCAAATTTCTAATATTTAATAATTTAAAATTTATAACTATTTATTAAGCACAATAATAAAAATTATCAAAATTAAGCGTGTTTAGTAGAATAGGGGATAGGATAGCCCTTGCCGTTGTCAGAGGGGGCTAATTGGAGGACTGCTGTAAGACAGGCTGCCAGAATGTAGGCCTTGTGGCATGGGAAATGATGGCATTGGTGGGCCTTTGAATAAGAGATGACATATGCCCTACAACTTAAGGACTAAAGTCCACCGCTAACAGATATTATCTTAAACTGATATGTTCTCCTCTCTAATCGATGTGGACCTTTGAACAAGATAGATGACATATGCCTTATAAATGGGATTGTTGACTCTAATGGCTCAAGTCCACCGCTAATAGATATTCTCTTCTTTAGACTTTTCCTCAAAGTTTTTAAAACAATTCTGTTAGGGAGAGGTTTCCACACCCTTATAAAGAATGTTTCGTTCCCATCTCTAATCGATGTGGGATCTCCGACTAAAAAAATTCCTAAAAACTCTAACTAATTAAATTTAAGAACACTCGTGAACTTGGATATCCAAACTCCTAAATCACAAAGGATAAAACCCTCAAATTAAGATGATTTCATCCCAGATGATTGTAACTTTTGTAATTTGATATAATAATCTTATTAAAGAAAGACTCAACTTGAGACATAGCTTGAGACATTTCAGTGGATAAAGATGCACATAGCGTGAGACATTTCACCGATGGTTGATAAGTGTTGAAAAATACTTATTTAAACGTCTTAATTTTTCAGACACGTTAAAAGAACGCTGAATTAGAAGAAATATTACTTGTGTTGATAGACATTTATCGTGAAAAGGAACCAAACGATCAAGGTTAAGCAAACTCTGTTGGGAATGAATGTTTCATTCACGTAGTGAAAGTATTGGAATCAACTTGGATTTTATGTAGATTTAAACGAGTATTTAATTTACCTGTTCCATTTTCTCCCATGGTTGAATCTCCTTAACAAAGTCTTCATCACTGTGACTCGAACACAAAGTCAAGTTTTATGGAAGTCTCTTGAAAGAAAATTTCAATAGATTGGAGGAGAAGAGTTTAGAAATGTCACGACCTTATATTTTTGAAGTTCTGAATTTCGACCGTGATTAAAAAAGTCAAAATGTGAAAGCCCGGAAAGGGAAAATAAAAAAAACAAAACTCTAGGCCGCTCAGTTATAAAGGACAAGAGCCTGGACTATAAAGAAAGACGGTAAGAGTTGTAGCTCGTGGCAATAGACAGAGGAATCTACATGGGAACGAGAGAACGAGAACGAGATGATGTCAAAGCAATATGACTTATTCCAAGTATGAGGTACTTTCGAAGACGAAAATTTCTTTTTTTCTACCTGAACTTTTTGTGATATGCATATATTACCATGTTCTCTCGGAGACACTTGATGAATTAGGTATGTTAAGAATGAATGATATACCATGTACATGTTCTGTCATGAAAAGTATGGAAGTATGACGTGCATCATAACCATGTATCATAATTTGAAAATGCAAGACCTAATTTTAATTGTATGTCACGAACACGGAATACTTCCCTAGTACATTTTGTATGGACCCCACCATCTTGATATGATATGTGCTCTTTTCTTTTTGTTGGTTTCTAATAACATGAGCGTAAGCCAGTCTGTAACCTAGAAGGTGTCTAGTGGGATCATGTGACAGATGTGGGAATCATGTATGGAGAAATACTATATATCTAATTTTATCCCAAGAAATAGTGGCGGAAAGAAGACGTAGTGGCATATTCGTAAAATCCAGAGAATATAAAGGTCAACTGTGTAACCATCTCTCTGAAAGCAGGAGAGAGAGAGAGGGGGGATCTGAGCTAGAGGGGAATCGCTTTGCGCACCAAAACGTAGTACTTGTTAACATAAATGGCGAAGAAGGTCCGGACCCAAACTCTCTCTCTCAGATCCAAATCGTCCGATTCATTCGCTCTCTTTAGGTTTGTTTCGTTTACCCATGAGCTCACGGAGCTCAATCCAATGGAGAGGAGAGAGATAGCCACGCAACCACACTGACCACCCCCACACTCATCCGCCTCCAATTTCCCGATTTTCTTGCGGTCTGTTTTCTTCTTCTTCTTCTTCTTCTTCTTCCTCTTACTTTCCTGCTCTTGCTTTCTCCTTTAATTTCTTCACACATTTCCAGGGATAATTGTGTTTTTTCTTCTTTGTTTGTTTGATTGTCTGTTGCGGAAGTCGATGTGGAAGATTGTGGAGTTGTTTTGCTCTCTTTTCTGTTGTTTTTTTGCTTTTTGGTTCGGAGATTTTGAATGGAACTCACTGTTGGTGCCAATTTGTTTGTTGTTCTGTTGAGTTTTGGTGGAGTGTTTTTTAATCCTGTTTTTTGATAATGAAATGTTTGTCAATCGAATTGAAGCTTGTATTGTGTCTTGCTCATCAAACGAATGGATTTCGTTTTGTGATTGCTTCACTGTGTGGCAGTAGGCAGCAGAGTTCGAGATCAGGCTGTTTGAGTGGTATCTGTCAGTTCAGTTCGCTGCTAAAATGGTCGAGATTTGAGGACGACGAAGGTATGTGAGCAATCTGATTTTAGGTTCTTTCTGTTGTTTAGCTACGGGCAGAGGAGATTCTCAGAGAATCTGTAGCTGGAAAATGCCTAATGTCTGCTGGTTTTTGAGTTAAGTTCTAAAAATTGCTTGTGCATCTCGAGCTAGGAACTAGCTCGACATCTGAATTTGAGTTTCTCCCAAGAATGAGAGCAGTGGTGATTTAGGAATCAAAGTGATATTCAAGAGCCGAACATCATGGAAGATTTTTCAAAATACTCGCATAGTCCAGCTCATCTAGCTGTTATTCGTCGAGATTATGCCTCTCTCCAGTGCATTGTTGCATCCCTACCTCAGCTAGCGAAGGCTGGTGAGGTTAATACTGAAGAGGAATCTCTTTCTGCTGAGCTCCAAGCTGATGCTGTCTCTGCTTCTATTGATCGCCGTGATGTTCCTGGACGGGAGACCCCTCTTCACCTTGCAGTACGGCTTCGAGACCCAATTTCAGCTGAAATTTTGATGGGAGCCGGTGCTGATTGGAGCCTTCAGAATGAGTATGGTTGGAATGCTCTCCAGGAAGCAGTCTGTACAAGAGAAGAAACAATAGCGATGATAATTGCTAGACACTACCAGCCTCTGGCTTGGGCAAAATGGTGTCGTAGGCTTCCTCGAATTATTGCTTCTGCTGCCCGAATTCGTGAATTTTACATGGAGATAACTTTTCATTTTGAGAGTTCTGTTATTCCTTTTATTGGACGAATCGCCCCATCAGATACTTATCGCATTTGGAAGCGTGGTTCTAATCTCCGAGCTGATATGACCCTTGCTGGTTTCGATGGTTTTCGAATTCAGCGTTCTGATCAAACATTTCTCTTTCTAGGTGAGGGTTACAGTTCAGAAGATGGTAATGTGAAGCTATCTCCAGGTTCATTGATTGTTCTTGCTCATAAGGAGAAGGAAATTACAAATGCTTTAGAAGGAGCTGGTGTTCAACCAACAGAAGCAGAAGTTGCCCATGAAGTGACCCTTATGTCGCAGACAAATATGTATAGGCCAGGCATTGATGTTACTCAAGCAGAGCTTGTTCCCCATCTAAATTGGAGACGCCAGGAGAGGACTGAGATGGTCGGAAATTGGAAGGCGAAAATATACGATATGCCTCATGTGATGGTGAGTGTGAAGTCAAGGCGGGTACCTGGAGCTATGACCGATGAGGAGCTATTTGCTGGTGATGATGAAGAAAGATTAGCCAATGGTGTTGAAAATGATGAGTTTGATGATGTATTGACTGCAGAAGAGAAAATGCAGTTGGATTCCGCACTTCGAATGGGAAACTCTGATGATGTGGGTGAAGATGAGGAGCATGTTGCCTGTGAAAGCCAAGAAAATGGTTCAGTAAGTTCATATACAAACTCTGACCCAAATGGTGCTACTAAGGAGAAGAAGAGTTGGTTTGGTTGGAACAAGAAGAGTGGCAAGGGAAGTAATGATGATCCTGATGATCCAAAGATTTTGAAGAAAGTTTCAAAATCAGCTCCGGAAGGTGCCAATCAAAAAGTAGTTGATCATAAAAAATTGGGTTCTGAATTATCCACAGAAGATATGGGGGATGCAAAGAAGGGAAAAGATAAAAGCAATAAGAAGAAAAAGAAGAAAGGAATCACCAATGACTCTAAGCATGAAAGTGAGTATAAAAAGGGTTTAAGACCAGTCTTATGGTTGACACCAGATTTTACCTTAAAGACAGATGAGCTTCTGCCTGTTCTTGACATCCTAGCCAACAAGGTAAAAGCTATCAGGAGACTAAGAGAGCTTTTAACAACCAAACTGCCTCATGGCACATTTCCAGTGAAGGTAACTTAATTTAAGATTTTCGTGCTAAGATTTCAATTCCTCATCACGTATGTTTTTTTATCATTTGCTTTTATTGCTTTAATTCTCTATTATTCTGTGATGTGAACCACTCCATGAGATTATATGCTCCTTTATTCTTTACCCAAAAAGGTTCATTGCGTCGGGAAAATGTTAGGGTCTGTAACAGCTCAATCCCACTGCTAGCCGATATTGTCCTCTTTGAGCTTTTCCTTTCGGGTTTCCCCTCAATAAAACGTGTCTGCTAGGAAGAGGTTTCCACCTCCTTATAAAGAATACTTCGTTCTCCTCCCAACCGATGTGGGATCTCACAATCCAGGACCCAGCATCCTCGTTGGCACACTGCCTTGTGTCCATCCCCTTTCGGGGCTTAGTCTCCTCGCTGACACATCACCCGGTGTCAAGCTTAATACCATTTGTAATAACCCAAGCCCACCGCTAGCAGATATTATCTTCTTTAGGCTTTCCCATTCGAGCTTCCTCTCAAGATTTTTAAAACGCGTCTGCTAAGGAGAGGTTTCCACACCTTTATAAATATTGTTTCGTTCTCCTCCCCACTACACACAAGGAAAAAATGTTCCCCATCCTTTTGTTCCCATCTTAATTCTTATCAACAAAATTGGATTCGTATTAAATAATAACAACAAAGCAATATGCTTCATTCTGTAGGTTGCCATTCCCATTGTCCCAACTATTAGAGTACTTGTTACTTTCACAAAATTTGAGGAGCTTCATCCGGTTGAAGAATTTGCAACCCCACTGTCAAGTCCAGCACATTTCCAGGATGCCAAGTCCAAGGAATCAGAGGGATCCTCATCATCATCATGGATTTCATGGATGAAAGGAAGCCGAGGTGGGCAATCCAGCGACAGCGACAGCAATCGGTATAAAGATGAAATCGACCCATTTCACATACCATCCGATTACACATGGGTCGATGCCAACGAGAAGAAACGCCGCATGAAAGCAAAGAAAGCAAAGAACAAGAAGCCTAAGAAACAAGCTGCTAAGGGCGGAAATGGAGGAATTCAAATGAGTGAGAACGTAGAAGAGTAATCTTTTATAGGTGATTTCTGCAGCCTTGCCACTTTGAGATCCTCCTGCAACAGATCAAGGAGGTAAGCTTATCTCCTATTTGTATTTGTCTCTATTTTTCACATTGAAAGATCATATGAGCATAGAGGATCCACTGGTTTTAGCAGTCTCTTCTTTTGTAGCTTATTTCCAATTTGATTTTCAATTATAGATTGGTTGTGCAAGTTAAAATTAGACACCAATCTTTGTACCAGATTATCACCAAGTATAAATTTTACGTTTTCTTTGTTGTGAAAAAAAACTAAGACTCCTTAAGAGAAGCTCTTACCCTTGACATGAATATAGTACTGGTCGCTTCATGTGTGCGTGCCATAAAATTTCGATGATGGGTGTTATCTAATCTTTTTTGTTCAATATTGGAGTATCAAGAAATTTTCTAGTACTACAGAGGTTTGATACGAAAACATAGTCGACAAGTTTCAACTTGTCTTGTCGTTTGGCTTCCACTATAGTTGACCTCACTTGTTCTCCCTTACACAACGACAGGACTCAAGCAAACTTCTTGGAAGTGCCTGTTTAGGAAGACATTTGCCATATCTAATTAGAACAGAGGTCAATCTCGTTTCGCAGTCATGAAAAAAATATTTATAAATAGAATTTTAATACATGTTAAATATTTTTATAAAAATAAATTTGAGATTTATTAAAAATAACTAAACTAAATTTAAATCATTTTGTACTAAACGAGAATAGCATTCAAAATTATTAATGTATATATTTTTGTGAATAATTTCTTTTCATGTTAATACATCAAAAACGAACTCACTCCCTAAATAACTTAAACGTTTCTTCTGTCCATTTGATCTATTTTTAAATAATTTAGACGTATCAAAAAAAAAAAATATAATCTTAAGTCAAATATTAAATTGATGTAATGAATTATTCTAGTATGAATTTATAATAATTGGACAAAATTTTAAATAACTCTATTTTAGAACCAAGAACCATACACAATGAACGCTTTGAAAGTAAAACCGTAATAAAATAAAATAAAATAAAATAAAATAAAAAGAGTAAAAAACAAACTATTAAAAGGATTTAGGATCAACGAATAAAACCCCAAAAAAACTCCCCAAAAAAGCCCTTTCCAACCCTCCCAACGGTCGTATTTCTCCACACAGATTCATCAAAACCATCAATGGCCGTTTCATTTCCTCTTCCCTTTAAACCCAAACTCCACTCCCATTCAATCCAATCCTCTTCTTCTTCTTCCTCTTTCATCCATTCTTTTTACTTTTTTATTATTTGATTTCCACTTTTCGCCTCTCTTCGTCGCCTAATCATGCGCTGCTTTCGAGCTTGTTTTGGTCGTTTGAAGCGCCGAAAACCGAGAAAGTCTACCGTCGGAATTTCCCCTTCAAATCATGTAATCGCTTATGATTTGTTTTTTTTTTTTTTCTTCTCTTTTTCTCATTCTGTTGAGTTTATTTTATTTTATTTTGTTTTTGTTTCTTACTGATCGGTGTATTTGTTTTTCTATCTTTTGTCGAGTGTTTTTGTAGATTGTTAATGCTTCTGAAGGTGTTCGTGAATCGGAAAAAGCGAAGGAAGTGGCTGATGCTTCGTTGATTAACATAAATAAGAATTCTCTGTAAGATTTTTGGAGATTCTTTTAGTATGTACTGAATTTTGTTGATTCTCTGTTTAGTTTCCTTATCGATTTTCAGTTTGATTCTCCTTTGCACTTGTGTATACTTTTTGTTCTTTGAGATTCGTTTTTTGTCCTTCGAATTTAGTTTCAGAGTACAGAAAGTTAAAAAGAAATGATCTGAAATCCAAGAATAATTTCTAGTTCTCTGTCTTGTTTGGAACTATAGAGATTTAAAATGAATGAAATTAAGTTTTTCTATTGACTTATCAATAGAAAATTAAGGTTCGATATCAAATAAGTAGGTTATTTCCTAATTCTATGAAATCCTGCTCTTGCATGTGAGTCACAATATGATCAATTTCAAAAAGGATTTTCACCTCAATCATCATCCTTGTGTGTTCTTGGAGTACAGTTTTTGGGGTGTGGTTCTAATTTTGTTGTAGATGTTCTTTAATAAACAGAGAGAAACGTGAAGAGCAGATTGATCTGCGTCACACAACTGAAAAAGTACACCCAATTGTTGAGAATGTAAAAGTGGTTCCTACTAAGAATGTTGAAAATAATTTGGATAAGATTAAGAAAAAGGAGAAGAGTAGAATGGATATTGATGAATCAAGAAATAGCTCAACTATATCAAATGCATTTTCCTTACCTCTCAATCATAGGTATTCAAATTACCAAAACAGTGATGATGAAGAATATGTAGTAAATGGGGGCTGTTTAGATGAAAAAGAAGAACGAAAACATGATGCTGGTGGTGGGAAAAGAAAAATTAAGTTATTAAGTAAGCAAGTGTCTTCAGATTCTCTCTTTTCTTTGTCAATGGGTTCAACAAGATACTTTCTTGCATCTGAAGCTGGAGAGAATGAGGTTTACAGTCCAGTTCCAAGCCGTTGTTCTAATATTCAACCTGACAATGCTTCATTGGACGAGAATGTTGATTTTGTTCGTAACCCAATTGAGAATGATACTCATTCTTTGAATGCTGCAAAAGTGATAGCACAACCTCCAGTTGATCATCCAGAAAAGGAGAATACTAATCATTTAGACAAAGATTCTGATGGTCTCATCAGTCCGGAACCTACTTTTTGTTCAATGAGAAAGTTGAAAGAAGACGGTAGCAATAGAAAGCATGTCGAGGGCAAGATTACGGTCAATACCAGCCTTTCAAACTGGTTGGTTGAATCTGAAACCACACCAAAATCCGTTGGTAATTCTAGCTCCATTGGAAACTCACCTATGTGGTCAAGTTCAGCCAGAAGCTATGAAGATAGGCCAATTTTAGGAGCATTGACTCTTGAAGAGCTTAGACAGTTCTCTGCATTTTCGACTCCGACGCGATATAGGAGTCGGAGTCCTGAGGAGATCCCCATCATAGGCACTGTTGGGAGGTACTGGAGTCATACAGAAGAGTATGCAGATTCCATTCCACGCTCCTCTTGTTCGGGATCAACGAAAGCGAAGAAGAGAATCAGAGAAGTATTTTTGATATCCTTCCAAATGTATCCATCTTCCAGTGGTGATATTAACTTGTTTGTTTGTTTGTTTGTTTGTGGTTTCAGGATGAGAGGGTCAACTGCAATTCTACCCCATTTCTAGAAAGGTTGGACACGGCTTTGGCATCAAACTCTCCTAAAGTTTAGTATGTCTCTTACTAGAACATTGTATGTGTGTGATCTTGTCTTTTGTCATTTCAGTTTGTCTTGGAGAACTGAGACCTTTCTTTTAGATGTAAAAAGCTATTAGAAAAATAAGTACATAGTATTTTATACAATAAGTATAATAAGGTTCCTTCTTCTGTTGTTTGCTTTGTTCACAAACATGCCATGTTCTTGTCAATCAGGCATGTCTGACGTACACCCATATCGGAAGTTTTTGTGGCAATTGTCCATCTATTATCACAAGGTCTTATTTGGAAGTGAGTCAGTTTTATTGATTGGGTGTCAACACTCATCGGTTGGAGTAAATCTTATGAAGGCTCACACTTACATATTATTACATATTATTGAGAATTGATGACCCTCAGACGTTACTTACTGAAATTTTTTAATACTCAACCCTTTCATTTTTATTCCGAGAGCAAAGACTTATAGTGGTCATGAATTTTGTCGTTTCTACATTGTTTTATTTATTCATGAATTTATAAATTTTATTTAGGGGTAGATAAGTAATAGGTTTGTTTACTTTATTATGTCTTAAAGCCTTTTCAAGGGATTACGTTTTTGTTAGTTTTTAATTGAGAATGCCATGCTTTGTCACGACTCAGTTTTCAAGGCTTTGAAACTCGAACTATGACCCAATAGATGAAATCGAAAACAAACAAAAAGAAAGAGAAAAGAAGAGTAAAAGATAAAAAACGAAAATCCAATAAAATCAAAATAGAACAAGGAGGAAGGTGTTAAGGATATTTAGTAATAAATTATAGTTTACAATATATATTATATTTGATATTTTATTATAAGGCAAATATCTAGCTTATTATCATAGGTATCTTTCCATTTATTACTATTTCCATATCCTTGTAATTCATTTGATTATAAATAAGATAACTTTCACACCATTTAGGTGTGGTGGATTAATCAAACATTCACATGGTATCAGAGCCATGCTCTAAACTTAGCCGTGCCAATAGATTGGCAAATCTTTAAATGTCGAACAAAGGACTCCAAAAGGAGTCAAGCCTCCTCGAAGGCAGTCAAAAATGACTAAGACTCCAAAGGAGTCGAGCCTCGATTAAGGGGAGGCGTGCTTTGTTCGAGGGGAGGTGTTGGATGATGAAAGTAAGTCCCACATCGGCTAATTTAGGGAATGATCATGGGTTTATAAGTGAGGAATACTAACTCCATTGGTGTGAGGTCTTTTGGGAAGCCCAAAGCAAAGCCATGAGAGCTTATGCTCAAAGTGGACAATATCATACCATTGTGGAGAGTCGTGTTCGTCTAACAGAAGATAATTTTCAAATGTTTGACCGAAAAGGGACTGACGCTCCGGAACTATCTCCTCTATGACCGTATAGCTCTCAACTAAGAATACTCTAGCTATTGTATGATTACTTGGACTATATGTAGAGACATAAGAGTAAGACACTTAGATGTGGAGACATGTGAGTGGGGTCGTCCTATGCAATGAGTATTGCATAAGATTGAAACATGAAGAAAATCACTCTTTGCATGGATGAGAGTGAGTGACTCGAGTTCGCCGACTCAATAAGTTTCCCATTTCAAGGGTAAGACTGGGTGAATAGTTGGGGGACATAGGTTGTAAGATGAAATTCACTCCTACACACTTTTAGGGATAGTAGAGAGGTTGTTCCAAGTACTGACTCCAAGGTGGTTGGACCACAAACCAATTGTTCATTAGAGGACCAGTGGGATTTAAGGAACAAGAAGTAACTTTAGGCGTAAAACGGTAAATTGATCCACGGTAAATTGATCCAACTCTAGTTACGAACAACCTGTGAAGGATCGACTTACTAATCATGGTTATATCAAATGGACAGAAATATATCTATAGTGAGGGAAGTGCAACTACTAGGCTATAGTGGTGTATCCTAATAGTTAACGAATGTTGGCTAACAAGATTAATGAGTTTAACCGGTTAATCTCGGATCGTTGGAGCCCATGATCTGTAGGTCCATTAGGTCTCTCTGCTAGCTCATATCGAACTAAACCTTAGAACAGTGTGAATCGAACTAAACCTTAGAACAGTGTGATTAGTGAGTTCGAAGTGTTGGAATTCAAATTAGGGAATACACGCTAAATATATACGATATATTTAACCGCATTTTGTTTTAATTATGAATTCAACAAAAAGTGAGAATTGGAGAGTTTAACCCTAAACCCTAAACCCTAAACCTTTAAAAAAACCTTGAGAAAAACTCTCACAAACTCTCTCTTCATATATATTAAATTTCTTCCAAGTTTAGTCACTCACCGGATTCCACAATCCTGTTATAAGGCTGGAGAATAGTAGAGAAGACACTAGTGGTGGTTCAAAATCGTTCGTGAGGAAAAAAGAAATTTGCTACAAAAAGGTTAGTATTCAAACTCATTGAGTTTTAATGCTTTTGAACATGCTATCTAATTTACTATAATCGATGTACTTAGAGTGCCTAAGATCTAACTTGCTTCTGCATGTGTTATATTAACACCATCACGCCCCTTGCCTCTACCTCGACTTGTAGGCTCTCATCGCATCCTAACTAACAGAATCCCCACGGTCTTCTAATTGGCTCTAGGACGTTTGGTTCTGGTCATAGTCTCTTTGGGACTCGCTCCTTGCCTCTACCTCGACTTGTAGGCTCTCATCGCATCTTAACTTAACATAATCCCCACGATCTTCTATTGGCTCTAGGACGTGGTTCTGGTCATAGTCTTTTTGGGGCTCGCCCCTTGTTCTACCTCCGACTGGCAGCCTACGAATACCTGGAAAAAAATAAGGAAAAATGGGATGAGTATAAAAATTATACTCAGTAAACCACTTAATTGTAGTCTCTCATCTCATCTTAACTTAATAGAATCCCCACGGTCTTCTAATTGGCTCTAGGATGTCTAGTTTTGGTCTTGGTCTCTTTGGGGCTCGCTCCTTGGGGACTTGCTCTATAGAGCTCCACTGGTTCTCCGTTCTTTCATTTGGTACTTAAGAGTCCCTTATGCTAGGCTAACATGACCGATGTCTCTCTATGAGGCGCTACCTCTGGATAGCTATCTGAGACTACATGGTATCTATTCTAAAGGCGTGTTGAGTACCTCTTAAGCCCATGACAGTCCCCTGGGGGGGACGCCACCCAACCCGTTCCCGTGTAGCTAATGGAGTTGTACGACGTGGGGACACATTTCCCATGTGAAACGGCTAGGAGTAGTAAGAACTGGTCAGGAATCTCTGGTTCCCCCCACGAAGCTATAGAGACCGTTCAGACAACTAGCAGTCTAAGAACACTTAAGATACTTCTTCGCCATGGTAATCTGTTAGGTTCCTAGGGGGAAGGTTGTGAGTGACTTGTCGCTCATAACTACAAATCCCTAGGCTTATCATAGTAATGGATCATGAAAAATAACAGAGTATGCATGCAACCATCGGCTAGCATCATCATACATAACTCATGCAAACTAGACACGCATGCGTCACAGGACGATGGACTCCATCAAGCACCCGGAACGCGGAGTTCGCGCTCAGGGGGTGACGTCATCCCTCGGAAGCCCGTAACGCAGAGTTCACAATTTCGACATGAATTAAACATATGCATACGTATAACGAAAGCTTAAAACATACCAGCAACACCCAAACAATTTTCCCAATACGCACGTAACAATCGACCTGCCTAATCTCAATGGAAAGCTAATCTAAGGCAAATATACTAGCATGCATGCAATCCAACTGAATCATACAGGTATTTCTTCCTAAATATCGGGTGGTGACTTACTTGGATGACGCATGCCCTTTCGCCCGCGTTTCTATGCCCATAAGTTATCTAAAAATACTGATTTTCCTCGATTAGGTCCCTATTCGCTTAAAAACATCGTTAGAATTGGAATCGGGACAGAAAGTGGGCAAACAAAAGTCGAGCAGGCCGAAAACTAACCCTCGCGCGCTTTCACGCGTCGCCACACGTCCTCACTCGTCGCCACACGTCGGGAGAAGGTCTACTCGCGAGTTTCACGCGTGCGCTTCCTGTGCAGTCGCGGTCTGGTTCGGTCGGTTCGCTCGTGTGGGTTGCGACTGGTTTAGGTTTGAAGGCGACACGTGTCGCCGTTTCGCTGGGGCTGCGTGGCTCTGGCCGACACTCGACACGTGTCCTCTGCCTGCCCAGTCGCATCTCACTGCCCACCATCGACACGTGGCTGTCAGAATTTCTTCTCTCTTCGTTCTTGGACGATTCTTGGATTTCCGCCTTCAGATCGAGGTTTCAGCCAAACTTCTTCACAAACCATTGGAGAGGTGTTTCTAAAGGAATATATCAAGATTTCAGATCTTGATTCACAAAGGAAAACCGTAGATCTGAGAAAAACGTTCAAGATCTTACCCCGCGGATTTTCTCGATCTCTTGACAAAAAATGTGACTCTGAACGCCAACATCTTCTTCTTCCTTCCAAGAAGAAGTCCTTGTCATTAAATGATGGCTGGCGGCGACTTACGACAGTGGTTTGATGAGTTTTTGGATGGTTCTTTCTTCCTTCTTTCTCTAGGTTTTTTCTCAACTTGACCCTTTTAGTTGCTGGAAGGGCAAAATTACCAATTTGCCCTCGGGTGACTTTAACCTTTTTTTTTTCTTCGAGTGCTACAAACTCTTCCTTCCTTAGAAACTTTCTCCCCCTGAAAATTGGCATCTCTTGGAAAAGCTCGGGATGGACTTCCTCCTATCTTCTACTTGTTTCCAGATCGCCTATTGTCATGGTCTGACACAATAGAGACTGGTACCCGTATAGGCGTACTACCTCTTTGACTTATAATTGATCTCATCGATCTACTCGATAAATGGTCTCACCTAGAATGAAGTGAGCTATCTTGGTTGGTCTAACTCCAACTGTCCGAATCACGTTAAGACTCTTCTTGGTCTTTGGCAAACTCGAGATAAAACTCACACACACTACTTCCCATTTAAGGGTTGTAGCAATCTTGTTGGGCGCTATCTCGGCGCCTTCCTTTGCTGACAGGTCAAGCATTGTCTTACGAAATTCGTCATGTCTCTCTTCATCCCTGGCCACCCATAGCCTCCTTTCAAATATCTTTGTACTTCCTAGGTGGAACGTACCAGATGTATTGTGGGCTTCGACTATAATATCTTTTAGGGTTTCCTCATCTCGGGGAACACATAGGCTGTTTTGCTGGCTGACCTTTGTTTGAGGAGATGGGATACTCCACTGGTCTCTCGGTTGATGTTTGACTCCACACTTTACTAAAGTGTTCATCAAACCTCTGGGCGTCAATAACCCTCGTAAAGTGGGTTGCATGGTCATCTGTGTTATCTTAGCAGTACCACCTTCAACAGCAACCTTGATTTTAACATTCTTCATCTCATCTTGTAACATCCCTTGCTTAGTGGTCAACGCAGAAGTATGAACGGTCTTCTTGCTTTATGTATCAACTACAGTGTTGGCCTTATGATACAGGATCACGATGTCTATCAATTCCGACCATATTCACTATCATATATGTCATTCCATCTACATGACCAAGTACTCGGGGCTCTTTAATCGGTGTATGCTTGCATTTTTCTCCATGCTCGTAGTGTTGCCACGTCTCCATGTCAAGCACGATTGCTGCTAATTCAAGGTCATGGGTAGGGTAATTTTGTTCGTGCTCTTTCAGCTGTCTTGAAGTGTAAGCTACTGCCTTACCCTTCTGCATAAGCACGCACCTTAAGTCATTACATGAGGCGTCTCTATACGTTACACGGTTGTCTAGCTCATTTAGAACTGATACAGTCACCAACCTTTGCTTAAGTTCCTAGAAACTCTGTTTGCCTACTGGTATCCAATCGAAGGGCTTGCCCTCCTTGGTTAACCGTGTAGGCGCTGCAGAGATCCTGAAAATATCATGTATGAGTCTTTTGAAAGATTTCTAGAAACTTCGTACCTTAGTAACTGTGGTCAATTTTGGCCACCTCATAACTGCTTCAATCTTAGCGGTGTCTACTATGAACCCTCTGCTTGACACCACATAACCTCAAATGTCATCTCAGACAGCTAATACTTAGCATATGATTAATTTGTTCATAACACCACCAAAACCTCCCTCAAGTGTCCACTGTCATATCGTCAAAGGCGACTACAATGATAATAGCAAGAAAGTCTCATGAACCTTCGATTTGTCTACACTTAAACTTTCACAAGGCAATAATTAGGTTGAAAGGGCTTATTAGTAAATTCGCCTTCCTCGTAACTCTTGAAGGCAGTCCTTGACATGTCCCTCTCTTTGATCCTTATAGGACGTATCCTGACCTTGTTGAGATCCTTAGGTCCTTACTGCTTCACCAAAAATGGCCTCGTAATTGCATCTCATTTGGGTAACATAAGTCTTCCCTCATGGTGAGATGCCCTGTCACGTAGTTCGCTTCAGTACTAATACTCATTTGAGCTACGTACGGGCTCTTTTGGAAGTAAGGGATCCTTGTATAAGTTCTCTAAGTTCACCTAGGTTAGCTCTTGTAGTATCTTTTATGACTGAGCTAGTCGCAACTCCTCTCGTGGTGATATCTTATCACTGGCTTTTCGAGCATGTGAACCTTTCGAGTTCTTATACAGGATCCTAGGGAACTCTCTGAAAAGTCTTGTTTGGTAGCTAGCCTCCCTCAACTTTGAGGATGCCCCTATGTCTAGTGTGTTTCCTCTGAGACTTATCATGTCCCTACTAGTCTTACCAATTTACAACTCACCATCTCATTGCCCTTCAGGTGGTCTTCAGCAACACGTTGTATAGGAGTTCTACCTCTATCTGAGCATGCTTCACAAGTATGGCGTCACACTCGTCTGTGTAACTAGAATCCTACTCTGCAATCTAGGTGATCTATATGAGGGTAGGTTCTTACTAACATGCATCGGGACTTTCTCTCTCCAGGCGACGATAGCGTGGCCATTGCTTGGCCTCTTTCCTGCTGTTCTCGACCCTGATGTTTGCCGGACTACCTTAGCAATTCTACGTCCTTACTTTGTGAACATGCCTGTCCTGACCAAGGGATAGATTAGAACTCAATTTCATGGTCTTAACAACCACATGTTACATTTGGACTTGTTTCTCTCCACCAAGGTCCAAAGTGACTTGTGAATTAGGTGATCCATCAATAGGAATATCCTACACCCCATATCTCATTAGTGGCACAAAGCACACATCATGCTTTTGGAAGTCTATAACTGAAACTTAGGTCGTGAAGATTTCAACCGACCTTGAAGCCATGACCTACATAGCTTCACTCTCAATGTTGGTAAAATTGGTTTACTTGAGGGGTGCATAATTCCTATAGTGGTTGCTCTTGTCTGTAAGAATTTTGTCTGGGTTTACTATGTGGTTTGCCTTAAGGCATGCTCTATACTGTCTAGGCCTACAATGTGGTCACAACGGAGGCATGCTTGACATCTAGAATTATGGTCATGGGAGGCTGAGCCATAGGTATACCATCTCTTAAGTTTGATGTACATCTCTACGGGTTGGATGTCATGCACTCTGCGGAGTCGCCCCTTTATCTTCTTAAGGCCAGTGAGCTATAACGTGAACCCACTCGGCCTCCTCACAATAACTCAAATCTAGCATTGACAGAACATTCACTATAAACATCCTAAGGCGTAACCATAGTTACCACTTAACCCAAGGCAAACATCAAGTTATTACAGACTTACAACATATCATAGCCTACTAAACAGGGTTAGACTGCATACCTAGTCACGATGAGGCGTGTCTTCGAGCTGAGTCACAAAGGTGTACGACTCTCTATCTTAGAAAAAGTCTACAAAATCTAAAACCCCACAGGCTTTGATACCAATTTGTCACAACCCAATTTTCGAGGCTTTGAAAATCGGATCGTAACCAAAAGGACGAAATCGAAAACAACTAAAAATAAAGAATTTATAAGAAAAGAAAGGAAATAAAATAGGCTAATCCATTAAAGACAAGACGAAGAAGTTAAATTTGGGGAATACAAATATAAAACGAAATACATTATAAATAAATTTGCAAAAGACTCCAAAAGACCGAAAAGGGACTGACGCTCCAGAACGATCCCCTATGTGACCGTACAGCTCTCAAACGCTCCTCTACCTCGATCGGAAGTCTACGAACACCTGAAAAAAAAATGGGATGAGTATAAAAATCCTCAAGGTCTCATCGCATCCTAACTTAACAGAATCCTCAAGGTCTTCTAATTGGCTCTAGGATGTCCGGCTCTAGTCTTAGTCCCTTTGGGGCTCGCACCTTGGGACTTGCTCTATGGAGCTCCAATGGTTCTCTGTCCTTTCATTTGGTACTTAAAGGTCCCTTATGCTAAGTTGACATGACTGACGTCTCTTTATGAGGCGCTACCTCTGCATAGCTATCTGAGACGACATGGTATCTAGCCTAGGGGTGTGCTAAGTACCTCCTAAACCCATGACAGTACCCTGGGGGGCGCGACCCAACCTGTTCCCATGCAGCTAACAGGGTTGTACGACGTGGACACATTTTCCATGCGAAACGGCTAGGAGCAGTAAGAACTGGTCAGGAACCTCTGGTTCCCCCTACGAACCTATAGAGGTCGTTCAGACAACTAGCGAACACTTAAGGTGTTTCTTCATCGTGGTAATCTATTAGGTTCCTAGGGGAAGGTTGTATCTAGACTGAGTGACTTGTCGCTCCTAACTACAAATCCCTAGGCTTATCATAGTAATGGGTTATGGAAAATAACAGAGTGTGCATGCAACCGTCGACTAACATCATCATACATAACTCATGCAAACTAGACACGCATGCGTCACGGGACGATGGACTCCATCAAGCACCCGGAACGTGGAGTTCGCGCTCAGGGGGCGACGTCATCCCTCGGAAGCCCGAAACGTAGAGTTCACAATTTCAACATGAATTAAACATATGCATATGTATAATGGAAGCTTAAAACATACAAGCAACACCCAAACAATTCTCCCAATACGCACGTAACAATCGACCTGCCTAATCTCAATGGAAAGCTAATCTAAGACAAATATACTAGCATGCATGCAATCCAACCGAATCATACAAGTATTTCTTTCTAAATATCGAGTGGTGATTTACTTGGTTGACGCGTGCCCTTTCGCTAGCGTTTCTATGCCCGTAAGTTGTCTAAAAATACTATTTTTTCTCGATTAGGTCCCTATTCACATAAAAACATCGTTAGAATTGGAGTCGGGGCAGAAATCGGGCATACAGAAGTCAAACGGGCCGAAAACTAACCCTCACGTGCTTCCATGCATCACCACAGGTCCTCACTTGCCGCCACGCGACGGGTGAAGGTCTACTCGCGAGTACCACGCGTGCGATTCCTGCATAATCATAGTCTAATTTGGGTTAGTTCGCTTGGCGAGTCAGCAGGTTAGTTCGCTCGTGTGGGCCATGGATGCTTTGGGTTTGAAGGCAACACGTGTCGCCGTTTC